AGGCTCCCCGCTGAGCCGGGAGCCCGATGCGGGACTCGATCCCAGGACTCCGGGACCATGACCTGAGCTGAAGGCAGTCGCTTAACCAACTGAGCCACCCAGGCACCCCCAGGTTTGTTCTTTCTCAAGACTGTTTTGGCTACTCTAGGTCCTTTGAATTTCCATATAAGTTTTAGAATTAGTATACCAATTTCCATTAAAAAGTTATCAGAGTTTTGATTGGGACTGCAGTTTGGGAGGAATGGACATATTAACACTACTGAGTTTTCCAATCCACGAGCACATACATTTATTCTCCCCATTTATTTAGGTCTTCAAAATTTTCTCTCAGTATATAAAGTCTTCAGTGTAGAAGTATTTCACATCTTTCATTAAATTAATCTGTAATATTTTGTTTTGATACTATTATAAAAAGTATTGTTTTTCGATTTTTATTTTCCAATTGTTGCTAGTATATAAAAACACTTTCTTTTTTATATATTTATCTCATATTCCGCATACTTGTTAAATTCAGCTATTAGTTCTGTAATATTTTTAGCTGATTCTTTATGATTTTCCATGTAAAAGATCCTGTTAACCACAGAAAAAGATAGTTTTAATTCTTCCTTTCTAAGAGTGATGCCTCTTATTTGATTTTCTTGCCTGACTAGGACTTCTGGTACAATGTTTACTAGAAGTGGTAATAGCATACAACCTTGCCTTATTGCTTGATCTTAGGGAAAAGCATCAATACTTCACTATTAAGTACAATATTATCTAAGTTTTCAGTATTTCAGTATTAGGTACAATACTAGTTTTAAGTTTTAAATTTAAGAAATTTCTTTTAATCCTAGTTTGATGAGAATTTTTATTTTGAGTGGATGTTGAAAGGTTTTTCTACATGTACAGAAATTAACATGCAGGTTTTCTTCTTTATTCTACTAATATATGAATTGGACTGATTGATTTTTCAATGTTTTAAATTAACCTTCATTCCTGAAATAAACTTGTGTAAGTCAGATCTGGATCCAGAGTATATAATATAAAAGCCAGCAAACTTGATAAAAACAGAAGAATCACTAACATTTCACCACTAGACTTCACCCTGGGTTTTACCTTAACTGCTCTAGGTACTTACACGTCCATATGGTGACCAGCACTCTGCAGTCCGTCCCCCATTTCTTTCTCTATGGCACTCCACTCACTAGGGAGAAAAAGATAAAACCAAACACACCATGAATTAGATATAGAATTTTTTTTAAAGACTTTATTTATTTATTTGACAGAGAGAGACACAGCAAGAAAAGGAACACAAGCGGGGGGGAGTGGGAGAGGGAGAAGCAGGCTTCCCACTGAGCAGGGAGCCCGATGCGGGGCTCAATCCCAGAACCCCGGGGTCATGACCTGAGCCAAAGGCAGACACTTAACTGACTGAGCCACCCAGGTGCCCCTAGATATGGAATATTTTCAAATGGGATATTTTATAAGGTTTTCTTTCCAGCTACCTTTTAAACAATGTAGTATCTGTATTTGGATTTATTTTCTGTGACTCAAATATGCTGCTTTGCCCTTAAGTTTAACAACTAAATGCAAGTGAAAGCTTTAAACTGTTAGTTCAAAAGTTGCTACCTGACACTGCTAAGTGCAAAGTAAGTATCACACAAAACAGCTTCTGCTTATAGACAACTTTCTCAGCTATGCTGCTATTTAAGTCAATTGTAGAGCTTTAGAAACTACGGATGCTAGCCCTTCTCTTGATCTACTTATTCAGAATCTCTGGGGTAGAGCTGAGATATGTATACTTTCTTTTTTTTTTTTTTTTAAGACTGTATTTATTTGCGAGAGAGAGAATGAGAGACAGAGAGCATGAGAGGGAGGAGGGTCAGAGGGAGAAGCAGACTCCCTGCCGAGCAGGGAG